GGCTGGTATTCCTCGATCCTAGCCACAGGTTCAGGTTCAGGTTCAGGTTCAGGCTCGTATTCGATCCTCTTCCCTTTCCCCTCTCTCTCCATCTCCCTCTCTCTAATCTCCCTCTCCCTCTCCATCTCCGCCAACCCCTTGACCCGCCCGACGGTCCACCCTCCAGCAAGTCTCTCGAGTACCTCGATGAACTCGGCTTGAGCCATACTCCTAGGTGGGAGAAACACAGGATACCCCTCCAACCCATCCACAAGAGCCGCCGTACGCGCAAACCGACTAAGAATACCCGCGAAGTCACCCAACAGAAGCATACACAGCAAAATCGAAAAGTGGGATTCCACAAGAAGGGGATGATACGTCGTAAACGTCGGTACCGGAACCCGTGCACCAAACGACGAAGGGGAAGGAGAAGAAGAAGCAGGAGGAGGCGACACGGGTTGATGCGATCCAGGTCGAATACTCTCCGACAGATAAAACGCGTATTCTGTTTGATTCAACAACGCGACGTGTCGGCACTCTTTGACCCAATCGTACTGTTCCGATTCCGATTCCGATTCGTTTCCTTCTCCTCCTCCTCCTCCCTCTGTACTCGTACTCGGGGGACGAAAATCATCTACCCCAATCGGTGGTGGACCACTTTCCAACGAATCAAAGTGACCGAGGAACCGTTCGTGATCGCGGATACTCTTCCGGAGTAGCGTTTCGACTTTGTCTCGGATACCTTTCTTCCCCCCGACGGTGACTCCTCCCACAAAGGTTTCCCTGTACACTCGAGCTTTCTCCCCACCGCTCGGTCCGAGAGGACCGTCTCCCCCCACTTCGACACCACCGTACCTCCCTTCCTCCAAATAACTCAACCTCAACTCCGCCCCATCCACCGTAGGCTTCCTCGTGACCCCTTCGAGCTCAAGCGCAGTCGACTCGACGATATGCACCGCATGCGAAAGATAAGCCGCACCCCTCAAGAACAACAGCTGCGGTTCGATCGGGGAGGGGGAAGAAGGATACGGTAACGTCGTTGGATGAGGTGTCGGTGTCGGCCCAGCAGCACCCATCGGTTCAGGTGAAGGAGCCGTCGTCGAAGGTGCTTCGGAGGAGTCTTCGTCGCCCACACCTGTAGCTTGTGGTTGTTTTTTACCCCGTCTCCCATTCCCGCCACCTTTCTTCCCCTTCTTGCCTTTCCCACCACCACCTCCGGACGGGGCACCGTCTTTCTCTCTACCTCCACCTACACCCCCGCCGACGGCTTCTCCGTGTACGCCCCTCATTTTAACTTTTCGGACTGCACGGGCTTCTTTAAGTGCGTATGTGAAATCTTTGGTGGCTTGGACGTATTCGTCTTTGAAACAATGGACGATCCCTCGTGTTCGGTAGAATTCTAGACGTTGGGGTTGCGCGAGGATGAGTTCGTCGAGGGTTTGTGTTGTTGTCGATTCTGCTAGTTGGCTATACGGGGTAGGTGTAGGGTGAGCAGAGGTGGAAATACGAAGAAAAAGAAAGGATACGCACCGAGAAGGTATCTTCTCATGAAAGAAATGTACATATCTCGCATCCACATCGTTCGGATCTACACAACATTCGAGGCAGTTCAGTCAGTCGACAAATGAAGGACAGACACAAGAAGACTCACCAAACCTCAACACTCTCTCCGCAAGATCATCAAACACGCTCCCACCTTGCATCACCATCACACTGCTCGCAATCTCATCAGCTTTATACGCCTCCGCCAACTTTTGCACCGCAAGCGCACGCAACCGATGAATCCGCATAGCACTCATAGCGACGTTTCGACCGTTGGCATGGCCGTTGGGGGTGGGGTTGAATCCGAGAGCTTGTGCAGTCGAGGTTGCGCTAGCCGTCGCGCTCGTGCCCCCACCGAAAAGACCCCCACCCCCACCGCTAGGCCCCATACCAGAAGCTCTCAATTCGGCGGCAGACATTCCACTGCTGGCTCTTACACTCAACTCTGCTGCCTCGTCGATGAGTCTCCTGATCGATGCTACGTTCTGGAAGACGCCTGGGTCGATAGGCGGGGGTGTTGGTTTGCCTATGCCTATGCCTAAATCTGGTTGGGTTGGGGAAGGAGGGCCAGATACTAGAGACGATGACGAAGCAGTGGGGAATCCGGGATAGGGGTAGTGGTTGTAACCGTAGCCATTCGGGTTGGTGAATGTGCCAACGTCGGGGTTGGAGGAGAGGTTGAGAGAATGGAAGCCTCTGTCCCTGTCTCGTTCGCGGTCTCGTTTGACGTTGTTGTAGTTTCCGTTTCCGTTACCGTTGCCATTCCCGCTGTTGTTGTTGTTATTGTTGTTGGTATAGTAAGGCGTGTTGGATATCGCTGGTACTGGGCTACCCTCAGAAGTTGTGATTGTTGGTGTCGGTGGTGAAAGTGTCGCAGGATCCAAGTTGAGTGCTAAGAGTGATTCGAGAAGTTCAAGAGGCAGTTGAAGCCATGGTCCCTGCAAGATCGAGTGGTTCAGAACAAACTAAAAGGCAGAGACAAGAGACTGGACGTACATGATAGGAACTGATATACTTCCAATGCTTGTTCCTGCTGATACAGAGCACTGGAGGCCTGTCCTTCTCCCGTTCTCGCTCCTTCATTCTCTCGCTTTCCTCGCGAGCCTTGACGCTAGCACTCTTCTTAGGCTTCTTCTTCTTCTTCTTTTTCTTGCCAGTGGCATTTTCTTGCAATAACACAGCGTCTCCGTCCGCGTCCAGATCCAAGGCGTCGCGGTCGTCCGCTAAAAATTCGGATGAGTCTCTACCTCCGTCTCCAGAGACAAAAACATGACCACCCAAGAGAGTCGTGGGCGTCGTAGGCGTAGCGGGTGTTGAAGGATCCGGGCTCGTCGAGAGTGAAGACGACATTTGTGATTTCTCGTAAACCCGTTCTCCGTTAGGACCTCAGTTCAACACAAATAAGCCCAGTTTTGCCCCAATCGTCTGCGTTGTCTAGGAAGTCTTTGTATATATCAACGCTGTGGGCGAGTAGCAATGAAAGGTTGAATGGAACAGATAACGAGAACGGAGGCTGAATAAGATAAGTAGGACCTGGACTGTGGAGGGAATGATGATACCCGACTCTGACGGGTTGACCGTGATGGTGACTGTCTGGCTCAGGAAAAAACACTGACAGGTGACGAGACAAAATTTCTCACGCTATCGTTTTAGCGTACCGGATTTCCGGGCCCTGAGGCGATGAGTCCGAAATATCCGAACGCCTGAATCAAGTCCGAAGGGATCCGGAGGAGGTTCAATAGAACTCAGAAAATTTGTCATTGGAAGGCGATATTTAAAAAAAGCTGCATAGTTCTTCATTCCCATTGATGAGAGTGGGATTCGAACCCACGCCCCGGAGGACCAGATAAATTGCACACCGAATGTGCTGATCCTTAGTCTGGCGCCTTAGACCGCTCGGCCATCTCACCATGGATTTCTGTCGACGCCTTGAAGATTCATTGTCTCCTCCTCCTTCTTCATCGATCATCATTCACGCCATCATGGCTGATTAAAAATTTTGTATTCATCCACAGTCGCGATTTTGCCCCACATAAATCTGTACGACCAACCGGATCTCAGCATCTCGCTCATTAATCAGTTATCCAGGCCCTCGAATTCTCAAAGTCGAACCAGCTTGTTTAAGAATCTCCTCGAATCTCAGTGTACGAAGACCGGGTTCGACTTGTGACTTTGCACTCTTCTTCAACTCTCAATGATTGGGACGCCTCTGGATCTGGTGAGTACAAGTAGGTCGTCTTCAACCTGATGATAGCCAGTCGACCGGCAATGCCAGCTCAAATCCTAATTCCGATATCACCACGATCCGGAGATAGCAGTAAACAATTCGCTTGAACACCTTCCTTGCTCAGGCGTTGCGCTTTGACTCTGACCGTGCTTGGACTGGATCACAGATCAAGATGGGGAAGGAGGTCCGAGGAATCCGTCGCTGAACGTCTTTGGCAAACTTCACCGTTCATCTCGTTCTCGAGGTTGGACCCTGCCAAAATCTTATGCTAGTCAGGCTCGCGGTATAACCCTTCTTCTCTTTGAATCGCCAGCTGAGATTCCCTTTTACTCCATCCGTTCGTTCGAGCGCACACTCAGGTACCATGTAGATCAAGGTCTTATGGTTCGCCTCCTTTTGTGGAAGCACCGTGGTCCCCGCCGTCGGCTGACACTCAACATCAGGCGTGATCCCACGAGGAACAACCTTTACTTAGACTAGGCTGTAGCAAGTTGACCACGAACAGACATTCGATGGCTGGCCGCGGCGTGATAATGGACGACTCTTCCGCTAGTGGTCGTATGAACGCTGGAAGTTCTGAGATCGATCGGGCCCTACTCTCTACTCACCCCAGTAACAATCCACGCTGGGACCGTCCTTGAAAAGTTTTGTCCACACGACATGGGCCAAACGGGCAGAAACGGTGACGCTTCGGATACACGCACCCAGACTAACTTCAGGGGCAATTAATATGATCCAAACGCCACCAAAGGCACTGAAAGATCCCATTCTTTTAGTGCCAGGATTGTAACATCACTCCCTGCGTACCCAGTGGCACGGCCTCCACCGCCTTCGGGAGTAGCATCCCCCAACTAAGTTCGCGTGCTTACCAGTGGAATCGTGATTCTGCTTCTTGTCCTCGCTCGGGTTCTGCGCTTCCTATTCTCTGGAACAGAAGGTATGCGGCTGAACTAAATTTCCGGAATCACTGCCGGCTTCACATTCGGAGGAATACCAGTCTTGGAGCTTTTCCCTCAGCCACCGAATCACCCTGTGCCGTATTTTCCATCGCGATTCGGTCAGCGCCGGCGAGCTAAGAATTTCTCTTCAATCGCCAGGCACCTCGCGAGCTCCCAGAATGCTCGGCTCCATAACACTTCGTCGAAAACAGCTTCTCAGATCTCTCGTCCCGAAAACTTATCCTTGGGACCCATCTCAAAGTCCTTTCATTTTTGACCCTGGCCAAGTTTTTCTACATCTCAAATACGTAGAAGGCGCTATAGCCAAGTGGTTACGGCGACAGATTCGAATAAATTTCGTCTACGTCTATAATCTGTTCCTCTTTGAGGGCGCAGGTTCAAATCCTGCTGGCGTCGTAGATACTTTTTTCTCCGATTGTGTTCAACGCACGCACCACATCAGTCAGAAAGCGTGAGGTGAAGTCTGCGCCGAGGAACGAAGAACCCGTTCAGAATGTATACGACCTCGCGTATCATACTGCGACCAAACGACTGATCAAAGTTCAGTTTTTTTTGTACCGTTCGCCCTTCTTCCGAGTGAGACAATAAATTATATCCAGTACTAGCCTAGTGATCCACGGCACCCCAAGATTCACGGAAGGCGAACCAAATCAACAGCTACATACCTACAGCCACCCAACATTTGGTCCTATTGGAGGGGTTGAAAGTTGAAATTGCCGAGTCTAAATGAGTGATATTGAAAACCATTATAGAATCGGGGAAGTTATACACAAGTCCGCACATAGCAAATATAAAGCGATCGTCAACACCTCTACGATGAGGCCACGGAATCCCGTGTAAGGGGAGGCTTTCGCAGAAATCGATTCTCCCAAGGATTTCCAGCGTCGCGGAGGCCCACCACATCCAACAAGAATGTATGAACTTCACTCGCTTTTGGACGGTCTTGCGCCTGCTGCGCCCAGCATCGCTCGATCATATCCCAAATATTATCCGGACACCAGAACTCCGAGTATGGTCGAGGCGGTCTCGACTTGAGGAAAAAAACCTGAAGCATGACGGCTGGATCCACGATATTCGCGAACGGTGGTTTGCCCGTAATGATCTGGTCCGCGAGGAGTGATTACTGCCATCAGCAGTCGCACGGGAACTAAGCGAAGGGCTTCTGACCTCGAGAACGGTGCATGCAAAAGCGTATATGTCTCGCGCAAATTTGTCAGTCTTCGCCTTGACCCTCTCTCCACTGTCGCCCGGGTTGCTTGGAACTGAATCGGTGTCACTGAGGTGGAATAACTCGGGCGCCATCCAGCGAAGGGACCCCTTCTGATCTCCCGTGATCGATTTTGTTCGAGTGAGGGTCTCAGCGACTATTATCGCCAGCCCGAAGTCCGCAAGTTGGGGTTTTCCGTGTTTGTCTACGAGAATATTGACCTACAAGTATATGAGTCGGCATGGTCGCAGGAGAGGAAATTTTCGGATGAAGACTCACTCCTTTAATGTCCCCATGCACAATCCTGAGCTCGTGCAAATAAGCTATTCCCGTGGCTATTTCGAGAATCTACGACAGACTGAGCGAAGGCCACCAGTCAAAGTGTAGAGGCTTACAGCCGCCAGTTTATCGTGACCAGGATTCATCTTCAAGAAAGTGATGATATCTCCGTTGTCCATCCAAGGTGAGACCAGACAGAAGCGTCGCGGGAAAAGTGTAGTACTGACACCATGAAAAGAAAGTACGTTAGGGTGGTTCAGCTGAGTCCATAGTAACGCCTCCTTGTGAAAATCCTAGTAGAGAAGGACATGCTCAGATAACTACCAAGCCCTGAACAATGAACGAACCTCGGCGAGCTCATCCTTCTTGCGTTGGTCCGCTTGAAGATAAAACCTCAGAACCTTGAGACACACTGGTCGGCCTCTATAGATTCCTTTATATATGTCCTTCACATGCTATTCAAACCTTCGCCCGATACGGAACAGAAAGTTACGTACCGCAAAACCCCCGCAGGCCACAGGATCCGTTCCTACTTTGGCAACCTCGTTGACGAACAGCGAGGCTGGCAGGATGTGGTGTTTGTTCACGAGAGCCCAAAGGCACTTTCTACATCTCCTGTGATACTGTGATTGGATTGTGTCGAACGATGTAGCGTGAATCTTCTGATCGCTAATTCAATACTGAATCACAACATCCTACGAGGTAAGATCTGACCGCTTGGAGCACGTCAACGGCGTATTGCACTTCTGAGCTTTCCAACTCCAACTCCAAAAGCGCGTTTATACCACCGTCCTCCGAGAATGCCCCTCGCAAGGCCCTGATCAAAGCGGTCCTTTCAGGCTAAAGAATCAACTTGAATGAGTAAAACTCGAGGAGAAACTTAGGAGATACAATACACATTTTTCAACAACTCGGGGTGCCGCCTTGCCAACTCGTAATGAACGTCACTCGACAAATTCTTGAATTGGGGCGTCGGTAAAGTGGCGAGCTTCTGTCGAGCCCGATTTCGCTTGGGATGATAGTCCTCTCTCGCAAAGAGGAAGGGGACTGAACGAACGTGAAAAGAATCAGTGCTTCTCCACAAATGAATTTTGCGGCGTCGCACCTTCATTCTCATTTTTTCTGCGGATGAGTTCATCGTATACGTCGGTCGAAAGTTCATGAAGTTTGGAGACTGTGAGCCTGGTGAGCCTTTGCCTTGCTGCAGATCGGAAGTTAGGTGATACTGGTGAGAATGGAGCTGTTCAGAAGAGGGTCCAGGAGATGTAAGGAAAGAAAGGCACCCCTGGAAAGGTAAGAGCGGGTCGAGAGGAAAGTTGCGTTTGAACATCACGGAAGAGCGAAGGTAATGCTCTTAGATATAGCTAGACCCATCGACTGGCAGCCCAAAAATACGACCCATGGGAGATACCAAAATAGGAGAAGAATAACTACCCAGGATGATTTGAGATTCTGTGGTTGCCTATCTTCTCGATCTGGAAGGGTAACGGGTACCAAGGAACGAGACAGGATATCGACCGAGATAACTGTGATGTGACAGTAGGAGGCCAGTGTCAGTCGGATTCATCGTGATAAGATGTCGTACTCACCCAATCATAGGACGAAAGTGCCATACCCAGCTCTAGCTCTCCCTCCCAAACCAACTGCGGTGCTGCTATGAGATCTTGTAGCCATGGTCTGGTTCAGAGACGTAAATAAACCCGACAGGCATTTATTTCATTCTCGTGCTTCATAGTGGCGCGTGAGGTCGTAAGGTTGTCTGTGATGTTGACGTTGTCCCGTATACTTTATAGAAAAATCGAGTTCTTCTGCGACGGAAGTCCCCTCGACGTTGTTTGTCGCGATTTTGCAGATGACCCACACTGATTGAGCTTTGATTGACTTCATTCGAGGCCAATCAGAAGAGGCATAGAGCGAGATGAATTGAGCTGTCGTAATGATGGTGGTGCGAAAGCAAGACCAACACGTCGCCCGTGATTTAGCTTTGGCTCCCACACATCGCTTGCGATCGTCAGTGAGTAGCATAGTGTGGATATCCGATACTCGAGACTAGCTCACGGTCCACATTCCAACCCCCGCACGATCGAACCGACTACTTTAAGTCTACGCTTAACGGGATCGATTCTCCGAATCTCCCTCAAAGCTTTCCGGAATGATAAGCTCGCCCTCGACTCGTCAAGTTTATGAATGCACGTTGTAGAGGAGCTTCTGGATTTCCTTCTTCTTGCCAGGCTTGGCCATGAATACGTCGCAGCATCCTCGACATCTCGAAGTACAAACGTTCAAGACTGTTCAACTCCGGCCAGGCACACAAACGGGAGGTCATCGAAATTTGATATCTCCCCCTTGGCCAAACCGTCTCACCTTCAAAAACATGAGGCCAATCCATTATATAGATACATGCGACGAGTGTTCTAAAAAGACCATACTACAACATAGCTAAGATACATACGCGCGCGAGAGCGCGATGTTCACACCCGTGGGTCCTCAAAGAAATATATCCTCCCAACCAGCCCCAGACCGGCGGAGACTCACTAGCTTCGACAAAAATCCATGCACCTCACTCGCTTCCGGACGATCCTGAGATTGTTGTGCCCAGCATCGCCGGACCAGTGCCCAAACGTTGTCGGGGCACCAGTAAATCGTTGGCGGTGGTCGAGACGGTCTCGCGCCTTTCGTTCCGACCTCTAAAATGACCATCGCGTCCACTGTCATGACATCTGCAAACGGTGGTTTACCTGTAATGATCTGTTCCACAAAGTTCAAACCCGTGACTACGAGTGCATGAATATAAGCTGGCGTACGAACCTCGAGGACGGTGCATGCGAAAGCGTATATGTCTTGACCGAACCTGTTGACTCGCTCCTTTGAGCCCTCTGTAGTAGCATGGATAGCGTTGCCAAAACGAAATAGCTCTGGGGCCATCCAGCGAATAGACCCCTTCATCTCGCTAGTGCTTGGGTTGACCCGTGTTGTGGATTCGGCGACCGTGATCGCCAGTCCAAAATCTGCAAGGAGAGATCGACCCTCTTTATTCACGAGTACATTGGCCTAAAAGTATGGGGTAAGTGCCACGAGAGGAACGGGTTGTGAGAAATGACTGACTCCTTTAATGTCTCCGTGCACGATCTCGCACTCGTGCAAGTAAGCCATCCCTGCTGAGATATCAAGAATCTAGATAGTAAAGTGAGTTGAGGCCGGTGACCAAGGCTTTTAAGCCCTACCGATACTAGCCTGTCGTGGCCAGGATGGAGTTCCAAGAATCCAATTATATCTCCATTCTCCATCCAAGGAGAGACGAGGCAGAAGCCTTGAGGAAAAAGTGTGGTGTTGACGCCAACGAAAGGAAGTAGATTGGGGTGGCTGAGCCGAGTCCATAAAAGCGCTTCCTTATGGAACGCCTGCAAGAGAAACAACACGCTCGAACACTGTCCTCACAATTCGAAGCGAGCAAGAATTGACGCACTTTGACCAGCATATCCTTCTTTCGCTGGCGGCCTTGTGCATGTACCCTGAGAACCTTGAGACATACTGTTTGGGTTCCATGGCTTCCTTTCCAGATGTCCTTGGTGTGCCCTTCAGATGAAACCTACAACAGCCTAAGGTAGACGCGCACCGAGAACCCTCCGCCATTACAAGGTTGCACTCCCTCCCTGGTTACATCGTTGACGAATAATGAAGCCGGTAAAGTGTGGTGTTTATTCACAAGGGCTTCCAGGCATGTCGCACATTGCTTGAGATGTCCAGAAAGGTTAGGGTCAAGCCTCGCAGAAAGGATCTCCTGTGGATAGACCGAGATAAGTGATTGCGTGCAGTGGCTGCAAGTAGTAAACTGACCAGCTGGAGTAACTCGACTGTCCGAGCGACAACTGGTCCTTTTTCAAGTGCCAGAAGTGCATTCACACCCGAA